GAGCAATGGGAGTCATTAATTTGAGCAGCTATGTTTAATTTCCAGAAAGTTGGCACAGCTATTTTGGTGGTGCACCACGTGCTTGGTTGTGACGTCCCAAATGTCCATTCCCATTAGTAAACCACTTATTTTTTATGTTCAGCTTTAATTACATTCGTCTTCTACGTTTTTATTTTTCACCAATTTCGACATGACCTTTTTAATTTCTCCATTTTTTTTATGATAAGAAACTATAACTCTTTTACTTTATCAATTTCTTACGAGAAATATCACGTTTATAATTACATACAAAAAAATATTGTGCTAATTTAATAATTGAGTTTAATATGATATTTTTATAAATAACAACACTAATAATAATAAATTTTGTGAATGATAAATACAATAATAAGTAAATTTTATTTAATATACTCACTAATAATATTTGAGAGACAAAAATAAATTTACTTCTTATTTAAAATACTAAAAACATTTTTAAATTATTAACACAATGAATCATGTTTGAAAAAAAAGTGAAAAGGACGAAATTTACAAAATTAAAATAAGGAAATAGAAAATGAAATTAAATATTAGATTTATATTTTTTTAATATACTTTTAGATTAAAGAAATTAAAATATTTTCAAACTGCTTTTGTTTTCTTTATTATTTTAATAATTTTTTATGAATATAATTTAATATGTATATTGGAAAAATAATTTTTTAAACTATATAATAATTATTACAATAGTATTAGTTTGTTATTGTCGTTCTTATATATACAAGGTTTATTTGCATTTTTTCTTTTCTTACTTTTAAGGTATCGTGAATCTGACCTCCTAATTATTTTTGTAAAATTGATCTTATTATCGTAATTACATAATTTTAATCCATTTATTTGATATTCAATATTTAATTAACATGTATACTAATGTGACACTCTATCATGTCAATACACCTATGTTAATGTAAAACTCTATTGCATTGTCATCTTAGTATTTCTATTAAATATCAGATTTAAAATAAGCTTCGTTTTATCAAATAGTTTAAATTCATTCCGTTTGAATGGAATTGATTTTCTATTTTGTATTTTTTTTTATATTTTGAGAAAATGTTAAATAAGCAGTAAGATGTATATAATAAAAAAATTTAAAAATATATTTAGATACATTTACTTAAATAGTTATTAAAAATTCATCTTAAATTAATAATATTTTTAAAAAAATAAATACTACATTATGTTATACCTTTATAAGTATATAAAAAATGAAAAAAAAAATGAAGTGATATTATAAATTTATTAATAAAAATATATTAATTCAGTTTAGATTAGGTTGGATAAACTTTAAAAATCAAATAAAAAATATAATCCAATTTAATAAAAAATAATTTTTTTAATTTTCAATTTATTAGATTTTCATATTGATTTTTCAGTTTTTATTATATTAGATCAGTTTATGAATACAGCGACCACTGTATGCCACGATCCACCAGAAGCTATAAACTGATTGTAATAAGTAAATAAATTTGACTTGAGGCGATTCCATCATTTTACGTACATATTACACGTGTACACAATTAACAACCGGACACTGATGCAACAATTTAAGATACATGTGCACTTGTTCAAAGTTAGGGATCACAAATAGATTGGAACGAGTTACTCTCATAACTTGTTTAATTAAATATTACTTTATTTATTAAGCTATATGTGATAAAGTTTTATTATTGAAGAATGATAACTATTTGTACCGAAGTTTTTAAAGATTATTATAATTTTATTTTTTAAAAAAAAATTATTAGCAATAATTTTATTTGAAAAAAATAATTTTTTTTAATAATTTAAATATTTTAATAGTAATTTATTATTTTTATGCTGCAGCCTTGAAATTGAAAGACAAATTTATATTATGAGACCTTGATTAAATTTGTTAATTGTTCTAAAAAAAATTAAATTTGTTAATTTAAATTAATGATAAAATAAAAAGATTTATTTTTATAAATAAAAAAATTGATGGTCTAATTTGTTAATTAGTTCGTCTCAAAGTAAGATGTGTTAATATTTTCATCACTTATTTATCCTTGCCTCATATATCTTTGGAGAGCTGATGGTGGAGTAGGTTAAAACGAATCGTGCTGACATATACTATCCTACTTTTACTGAATATGATGGATATATAGAAACATATATAGGAACACATAAATCAATATATATTTTACATTTTAAACAATAGAGTATGTGTAAATAAAATTAAAGTCAATCATGTAACGACTCAGCTAGTCACTACACGCGGCACAGCATATCGGAAATACCAGATAGATAGAACGAGTATATAATATAAGATATAGAATATATATATATATATATATATACAAGGTCCCAATCTGACTAGAGTTAGAGTGTACAACAAAATACATCAAAGCTACTCTACTCGGTAACTAAAACAACAAAAGATCCAAATCAGATCAGCTTCGTCTGTCAGCTACAGACTCACCATCAGCCACCAACCTATCCCTGCTCTGCTCCCATACATAGTATGATCATTGCAGTCCAAACATCATGGAGACTTCAAATGGTAAGCTAGTGTACAAAAATCAACATACATATATAAATATGTAAATAGAAAACATCTACAGCTATCAGCACATCCGCACAGCTTATATTACACCACAGCAATTCAGCAATATCAGCACCGCTCAGCGGTTATAACCGACACAGCACACCAGAAACACCAGATAGATAGAACGAGTATATAATATAGGATCTAGTATATATATATACAAGGTCCCAATCTGACTAGAGTTAGAGTGTACAACAAAATACATCAAAGCTACTCTACTCGGTAACTAAAACAACAAAAGATCCAAATCAGATCAGCTTCGTCTGTCAGCTACAGACTCACCATCAGCCACCAACCTATCCCTGCTCTGCTCCCATACATAGTATGATCATTGCAGTCCAAACATCATGGAGACTTCAAATGGTAAGCTAGTGTACAAAAATCAACATACATATATAAATATGTAAATAGAAAACATCTACAGCTATCAGCACATCCGCACAGCTTATATTACACCACAGCAATTCAGCAATATCAGCACCGCTCAGCGGTTATAACAGCACCACAATAGTGGCTATAACAACACCACAATAGTGGCTATAACAGCACCGACAAAACGGCTATAACAGCACCGACAAAGCGGCTATAACAGCACCACAATAGTGGCCAAACACATCATACAACTCAGCAATAAACAGCACAGCAAAACAGCTCGCAACACAGCACAACCAAAACAGCGTACAACACAGCCAAGTAGTATTCAACACAACTTACTACTTACAACTCAGCTCATCATTCTAGAGCACATCAATATCATATAGTTCAGCATTTTAAAATCATTAATAACAGCCCAGCTCAGCACAACAATTTACATCTATTACAGCTTAACATCTTATATCAGCATTTTCATTTAAACAGCACAACATGTTCATCAATTTCAGCTTAGTTCAACATAAAACAAACTATCTCAGCAATTTCAGCAAGGTTAACAACTAGAAACACATCAAGTCATCAGCCTTATACGCGCCCAGCGCACCCATGGTCACGCCCAGCGCAGCTCAACCAAAGAGCACCAGGGGCCAGCGCGCCCAGCGCAAGACCGCTCGCGCCCGGCGTGGCCCCCTCACGCGCCTGGCGCAATTTAGAATTGCGCCCAGCGCTTACTAGGCAGAGACTCGATGGAGTCTCACGCGCCCAACGTGCCTAGACCCGCGCCCAGCGCGGGGAAGGCAGAGACCTCCCCTTGGTCTCGCGCCCAGCGCAATTTGAATTGCGCCCAGCACCTTCCTGGCAGAGACTCTCAAGGAGTCTCGCGCCCAGCGCGACTAGAGTCGCGCTCAGCGCAGAACCACCACCTAAAATATTACCTGCGTGCTCGGCGCGATCCCTGACCCGCCCGGCGTGGGCCAACCAGAGGCTCACCTTCTCAAGCTCGCCCGGCGCACACATCTTTGCGCCCGGCGGGCTTATAAAAAAGGAGCCCCTAGGTGGTCTCGCGCCCGACGCGAAGAACCACGCTCAGCGCAAGGCTCAATAGCAACCCATCAAGTTCGAAAAAACTTCACCAAATCCTACAAAATATCCAAAAAATCCAACATGCAATCCGGCCAACAGTTCACATTTTCAACCAAGAGTTCAAAAACACCAACCTTTTTCACATGCAACCATTCAACAATTAAAAACCCAAATTTCCTCAAAATCCCACAAAACCCGAAAACCCCAATTCATCATTTTTCAGCAATCTCAACCAAAGATCATCCATCAACAAGCAGCAAATGAGTATCTAAGACTCATTCCCAACCAAAAATAGCAAGGTAACTAGCTAGTTTCCCTTACCTCGGTAGAAGATTCCGAGCTTCGGGAAGAAAAGAACGAGAGAAAAGACGAAGAAGAAACTTGAGAGAAGAAATCTCCACACGGATTAGCTAACTCCGCCTAACTTGAATCACCACCTTCAGTCCAAGGAATGAGAAGAATCAGCCAAGTGAGTAAGAATGAAAGAGTGAGAATGAGAATGAGTGAGAGGAGAGTGTCGAGGAGAGAAAAGGAAAAGGGAAAAAAAAGTCTTACAAATCCTCTTAAAATAAAGTTCTAAGATTAAGTTATGTAAATGAAAAAATATAATTAAAAAAGAAAGTGTCATTAAAAATATGATAATACCTAAAATGTATTATTAAAAAAAAAAAAGAAGTGATGGAGAGGAGATTTTGGTAGTTGTGAAAGGAGAGTTGTATAGTGTTTGAATCGATTTCTTCTCTTGTCCACCAACCGCTCTCTTCCTTCCTCATGCCCTTGCCCTACCCTTCCTTTCACTTAACTGTCACTTTCCCCACGTGGCAGCATCGGAACCCTCCATTCCCATGATGATCGAACGGCCACGTCTGCTTCTCAACTAACCCATCGGCTTACCCACCAACACTGAATGAGACGAAGCTTGTATATATACCCCTGGTTTTCCCTCTCCTCTCTCAGGAAAGTTTTCTCAGCCCGAGTCCCTAGAAAATTTTCCATGCAACCACATTTCTGCATTTCTATAATTGCCATGTTCCTATTCCTACCTACACATATATAGCCACAAATATTACTATCACTCGCATACACACACACACAAGATCCATCTCTAGATAGATCTTTTCCACGACCAGGTTAACCAATTCATTAATTCAGGATGGAATATCATCGATCCAATGGCAATGGCAATGGCAATGGCAATGGCAATGCAAACCTTTGCAATGGTACCACTGACCCACTTCACTGGGGCATGGCCGCCGAAGCCTTCAAGGGCTCCCACCTCGGCGAGGTCAAACGCATGGTGGACGACTACCGTCACCCGCTCGTCACGCTAGGCGGCAAGACCCTCACCGTCGCTCAGGTGGCGGCGGTTGCCACCCGCCACGACGCCGCCGTGCTTGTGAAGCTGGCCGAGGAGAGCCGCCGCGGTGTCAAGGCCAGCAGTGACTGGGTGCTTGATAGCATGAACCGCGGCACTGATAGCTACGGGGTGACCACGGGCTTCGGTGCAACCTCCCACAGGAGAACAAGACAAGGGGGTGCGCTTCAAAACGAACTCATCAGGTGATTCCTTGTTTCGGTTTTTATTATTTGATTAATTCTTTTTAAGTTAAGTTGGTGGGTTAGGTCTTTAATTAATCTTTATGTCTTATACGTATAACTCCATATTTTAATTTTTGGCTACTACGGGGTAGGTGGGTTACCGGTCATCAGCTACATGCAATTCGGTTTAGGTGGAGGGTTGTGTCGTCATATGTTGCTTTTATTTTATTTTATTTTCCTTTTTCGTCTGCTTTTCTACATTTCTCACAGGTGTCTCATCTTTTCTACTTTCCTTTTGCTTCATTCCATGATCTGGGATTAAAAAAGAGAGAGAGATGGAGAAAGTAATAAATACCATATTAAGTGATGTATCTAATAGAAAAAGAAGAAAAAAAAAATCAAAATAAACTAATTATAATTTTAACTTAAAAAATATAGTTATATGCGGTAATTAAAGACAGGATATGATAACAGCATATATATTTATGGAAGCGGTTAATATTTATTGATATTTTGTAACCTAAAGTGAAAATGATCAGCTAGTTTAGCGTATAAAACAATTATTAGGCACAGAAATATAGGGGAATTAAAGGGAAACATAACTCCTATGATGTTATGAAATACTAAAAGCATAGAAAAAACCATGAAAAGAAAAATAAACATAAAACGGTTAGATTTGTGCAGGTCACTAAAAAGTCCATTAAAACTTAGCTTGAGGATTTGGTAGATTTTTCTATAAACAAATATTTAAATTGAAATAAATTTATAGGATATCTCTTGGTCTATAGTTTAAGCTAACTTTTCTCTTGCTTTAAATAAATGAAATCAATATTGTTTAATTTGATGTGCTGCTGTTGGGAGCTTATTGAGGAACTTTTTCCATGTAATAAAAGTATTTTAAATTTATTTGAACGTGTGGGACAATAATAAGTTACCCAAAATTTAAGCTTTAGTACTTGGGTTTCTTGCAAATAATTGTAAAAGATTTACTACTTTCAATTGGATATCTTTATTATTTTTATTCCAAAAGTCATGAAAAAAATAGCCTTATTTATCAAAATTTCAATAGAAAAATTACATCTCATGTACTAAAATTTTCGATGCTATACGTTATCCAGAACCGAAGTTATGTCATGAAATGTCGGACGGGTTTATTGTCGGAACAATATCCTGCAAATATCGTTACTATGTGAAAGAAAAAAACATTTCTTTAACTTGAAATATATTTACTTTTAATTAACAATATGGTTGCCTTTTTTATTTATTAATAACGTGAATTTGGTTGCTTTTCTATTTTATTTTTAATTAATATGTTTAAATTAAAATTTTAAAACTATAATTTGCTTTTATTTTATTTCTTATTTTCAAGAATTTGTATAATATAATGAAGGAAGTAATTAAGTTTTACAAATTGTAAAAATTTAAAAAGATATTTTATACTTATTGATTGCCCTTGCTAGTAGATGTGTTTTAAACTAAACCAAGAAAAATTGCAAACCAATCTAAAAGATTTTTAAAAAATTATAGAAAATTGTAAACTAACGGTTTTGTTTTATTTTTTTATTTTCCTAAATTGTGTAGTTTAATTCAATTTTCATATTGAAATATGAAACTAATTCAAATAAAATCAAAATGCACTTAATGTAAATATTGTTTTTTGACAAATGCATAATATAAGTATACAAAATTGACACATAATATAAAAGGTAATTTATAAAATCATAAGTTACTAAAAGTTTTTTTTCTTCTCAAACGCGTGGTGATATAATACATTTGATTAAATTTTTATTATAAAATTATAAGCTATTAAAGTTAATTTTAGAACAAAAATCATGAATTATTTATAAAAATTTAAAAAATATATATTTCAAGTGACAAATTATTTATATGAAAAAAATATTTAACATGATAACTAAAATTATATTAAATAAATATTTCACTAAAATAAAAAAAAATAAAAATTAATGCTAAATATATTAAGTGACAATTTTTTTTACTTATATATTTTAAATTTTATTTTTAACTACAATCTTAAATAAATAACACAATATTACATATTTTTAATTATTTTAAATAACAAATTTTAAAAATCATAAAAATCGAACTAAAGTAGAAATTTTTTTATAGCTTTATTCAGATTTTTAAATACATTTACAACAAACCACATTTAATTATTTTTCTGATTCACATGACTTTAATGATAAAAACTGAAGCGAGTGTACTTGCAAGTTGTGTTTCTATTTTCTTATTGACTTGAGCACCCGTGAGTGGTCCACTCCGGTGAGTGTAAATATATCTATATATATTTTCCCTTTAAATAAAAATGAATAAGAAAGTATCACGCTTACAGCAACATTTATCTTGAACGAATATGAAACAAGAGATCTACCCTAAAAAATATTAAATATTATTCACCATTATTATCATTATCTAAATGTAAGAAAAAAGACAATGGTCTAATATGAAAAAACAAAAGAAGACTAATAAGAGAATAAGACACTTGTCTAATAATTCTGGAAAATAAACAAAAATTCCCAGTCACCAAACGAAGGGATGACTTGTCATTGCTGAATTTTTCCTTCGTTGCTTTGTCTTTCAACGTCCAGTATAGTCTTTATGCTTGAGGCCAATAATAAAAAAGTGTAGTTCGTGGCCACAAATTTTGTAATTGAGGAAAATGCTATACGAATAATTATAGAAGAAATAAAATAATTGTATGACAGAAAGTATTAGATAACATGTGAAATTGTGTAAAATGTCTGTGACATGATGCAGTGTAAATAAATATATAAAAAAAACAAAGATAAACCTATATAAACTTTTAGGTATAAAATGTCGTTTTTCATGAGTGGGCCAAAAATTCCATGCTCAATGACAGACCATTAATTAGAAACCGATATTACAGATCTTCCATTAGGCTCGCCTGCTTGGAAGCACCAGAACCACTTATGCCACAACTTTACTTAACCCATATTTAATGTCATATTCATATCCATGAATATAATAAATGAAGGATAACGCTTTAATGCATACCTATTTCTTATTTGAAAAAAAAAAAAAATATATATATATATATATATATATATATATATGTATGTGTGCGTGTCTAAAGTAGTTTTACACCAAATTTGTAGAGAATAAAAAAAGTTCATGACTGAATTGTTATATTAAATGGCTATGTCGAAGTTATCTAATTTTTTTAAGGATGTTTGGTGGCTCTTCATGGGGTTATTATTTTAATGTATTTGGACTTTTATTCAACAAATGTGTTTGACTTAATACGAATCATTTGAAAGACCACCCTTATTCATTATGTGGGTTAGTCAACATGTGTCTTACTTGTTTATGTTTTATTATTTATCATATAAAATTTCCGTCAGTTTGTGATCTTAATTCAGTGTTGGTATTGACACAATTTGATAACTATTTTGCTGTATCAGATTTCTGAATGCTGGGATTTTTGGTAATGGTACAGAGTCTTGTCACACCTTACCTCACTCAGCTACAAGGGCAGCTATGTTGGTTAGGATCAACACCTTGCTTCAAGGATATTCAGGAATTAGATTTGAAATCATGGAGGCCATCGCCAAGTTTTTGAATCATAATATAACCCCATGTCTCCCACTGCGTGGTACGATTACTGCATCAGGTGACTTGGTTCCTTTATCATATGTTGCTGGCCTCTTAATTGGAAGACCAAACTCCAAGTCTATTGGACCCAATGGACAAGTTCTTAATGCTAAAGAGGCATTTCAACTAGCGGGAATTGATGGTGGTTTCTTTGAGTTGCAACCTAAAGAGGGCTTGGCACTAGTGAATGGCACTGCAGTGGGATCTGGCTTGGCCTCCATGGTTCTTTTTGAGGCTAACTTACTTGTTATACTCTCAGAAGTTTTGTCAGCAATTTTTGCTGAAGTTATGCAAGGAAAACCAGAATTCACAGACCACTTGACTCATAAATTGAAGCACCACCCTGGCCAAATTGAGGCTGCAGCAATAATGGAACATATATTAGATGGGAGCTCGTATGTTAAGGCTGCACAAAAGTTACATGAGATCGATCCACTTCAAAAGCCTAAACAAGATAGGTATGCTCTTAGAACATCACCTCAATGGCTTGGACCACAAATTGAAGTAATTAGACATGCAACAAAGATGATTGAAAGAGAGATAAACTCTGTGAATGATAACCCCTTGATTGATGTTTCGAGGAATAAGGCACTTCACGGGGGAAATTTCCAAGGTACCCCAATTGGTGTTTCAATGGATAACACTCGTTTAGCCATTGCATCAATCGGGAAACTTATGTTTGCCCAATTCTCTGAACTTGTCAATGACTTCTACAATAATGGCTTGCCTTCAAATCTAACAGCTAGTCGGAACCCAAGCTTGGATTATGGATTCAAAGGGGCTGAAATTGCAATGGCATCCTACTGTTCAGAACTTCAATACCTTGCCAATCCTGTCACCAATCATGTTCAAAGTGCTGAGCAACATAATCAAGACGTGAACTCTTTAGGCTTAATTTCTTCAAGAAAGACATCTGAAGCACTAGACATATTAAAGCTCATGTCCTCCACTTTCTTAGTTGCACTATGCCAAGCCATTGATCTGAGGCATTTGGAGGAAAACTTGAAGAACACTGTTAAGAATACTGTGAGTCAAGTTGCCAAAAGAGTTCTCACAGTTGGCATCAATGGTGAGTTACATCCTTCTAGGTTTTGTGAGAAGGACTTGCTCAAAATTGTTGATCGTGAGTATGTTTTTGCTTATATTGATGACCCCTGCAGTGCAACCTATCCTCTAATGCACAAGTTAAGACTAGTCCTAGTTGATCATGCATTGCAAAATGGTGACAAAGAATCAAATTCAAGTACCTCGATTTTCCAAAAGATAAGAGTCTTTGAGGAAGAGCTCAAGTCTATTTTGCCCAAAGAGGTTGAAAATGTTAGGATTGAAGTTGAGAATGGAAACCCCACTATTCCTAACCGAATCAAGGAATGCAGGTCTTATCCTTTATATAAGTTTGTAAGAGAAAATTTGGGCACAACTTTGCTAACTGGTGAGAAAGCCAGGTCACCTGGTGAAGAATGTGACAAGGTATTTACTGCATTGTGTGAAGGAAAGTTCATTGATCCTTTGTTGGATTGTCTTAAGGAGTGGAATGGTGCTCCTTTGCCAATATGTTAAGATGGTACTATACTACCTTATCAAACATTTTTATAAAGGAAAATTTACTTTCATTTTCTTATGTTGTATGTTTTTATAAAGCTACTAGACATGTATTTCAAAATGTCATAGGAAATTGTATTTTAATTCAATATACGTTATTTGTCTATGAACAATTGAAACTTTTAATTGATGTTGGTTAATTAATATGAGAGATCTGACTAAAAAATCATAGACAAAATAATAAATAATACACAAACAAGAATTTAAGCTGAAGTAATACATATATAACAAGACTAAAATTACTTTTTTCTTTTAGGAATTATTAAATCAACCCTAACCAAACCAAATATTGTATTCATCATCTACCTCTTCCACTTTCTTTAAAATAAACACAACATGATGAAACAAGGTTAGAACCCAAACATGTAGCCCATTAAAATGATAAACACCATGAATTTAAGAATTCACATCTCGCTAGTTTGGTGTAATGTTATTACTCCCTCACCTCACAATTATTGAAGTTTATTTATTATAAACACATTAAAAATAACAATAAATGTAATATTTTTATATAATTTTATTAAAATAATTCTACTTTCTTAATAAGTATATTATTTTTATTTGTGGTAGTTGAATAATTTATGAGAAAAAAAATCAATAAAAAAAATTAATATTATGTTGAAAAGTTAGAATATTGAACATTTTAAGACAATTCTCAATTTTTAAAATTGTAACCAAATTGAGACGGAGGAGAATTTTTTAAATGCTAAAATTGTAATCAATTTAAGAAAGTTCATATTAATCAGTTTTATTCTTTAATTGTGTAACTATTTTATTTTATTTTTTGTGCGTCTCTTTTTTTATTCATTAAAACCTTTTGATTTTATTTTTATTTTTTACTATCATTTGAATGTGTTGCATGTTTAGTTCTTTCTCATTTTTGGCTTTCTCCCATAGTTGGCAACATTTTATTGTTGAATGTATTTATGTTATTAAGAGTGCGTAGAATGATTTGCTGAAAATCTTTTAAAACTTTTATTTTTATTTTGATACTATATATTTATATATAAAAAAATCTTAATGTCAATCTAATTTTAGTTGGATTTTCAAAAATAAAAATCAATGACTAACCAATTTTCTTGAATAATCTTATATTTTGTGAGAAATATTAGGTTAAAATAACTTTTGACTAGGCTTACCTTATACCTAAAAGTTTAAAATAAGAATAAGTTAAATTATTTTTAAAAAGAGTAATATTAGTAATATTCTTTCTAACACATTTCACTTTTTTTTAACATTTTTTGTTATTGATTGAAATTTATTAAACTTCTATGATATTTAGAGACAGAACTCATCAATTGTGATTTTCAATCAATCAATAGTCGATAGAGTACTTAAAAGGTGTTAGAGAATAGATTGCTAATATTTCTCCCTAAAAAATAAATTAAGAATGACAATGTATCCTATTTCTTGGAAGATTCTATATGTGTGAATTTTGATGACATTTTTGTGGGTAAAAGTTGGTTTATATTACCTATTGAGACTTATGATTTGACTTTTTCGAGTCTTAATTTGATTTGATCCATTTTTTTTAATTAAAGCAGAGATTATAAAAAATGGTAATAAATATCAAACTAAACTAGCATACAATGGTTTAACTTGATTCATTTAATAAAAAGTTTAGACTTGAAATTTTTAAAAAGTTTTTTTTTTTTGTTGAATAGGTTGTCTTTTAAATCAACTATAAAAGCTTATTAGGTTTAAAGGGATGAAATATTTATCATGTGTACACTTATGTTGATAAACTTGATAGTCGATTAAATTCGTGATCTTTGCTAACTTATTTAGGCTAATATATACAATTTATTAATAAATTTGCCATCTAATTTAGGTTATCACAACTAATTTAGGCTATCACAACTTATTAGTCTTCCTTTGAAATTGCCTTTGATAAGTTGTAAGATTAAATTAGGCTTTTAAGGAAGTTAAGTTAGATTTGAAAATACTAATAAATAAATAAAACATTTCTCCTGAAAAAACAAATTGTGACAGTGTATTCCTAGGCCTGATAGCCTATATTTTGGCCTTCTCGTGTTAATAAATTTGGCACCATATTTAGGCAATAGAGACTTTCTTATTGTTTATAGATCTTTACTTTAAACTAGTCTTTAATTAATTTCCAGGTTAAATCAAACTTCTAAAGCTAGCCAAGTTAGATTTAAAAAGAAAGACACTTGACAAGTAAACGAGATAGATTAAAGTTTATGATTAAGAATCAAATTACCTTTTTTTATTCATTAAAATTTCAACGAGAATTTAAAATAGTTTAAAATTACGAGATAGACAAATAAACTTGTTAATTGAAAATTGTTCTACCTTTGAAAATACGTACTCATATTTAAAAAAAAAAATGAAAATGACGAGATAGACAGACTTTTCTGACAAGTCAAACTGATTTTACCAAGAAAACGTCAATAACCATTTCAGTACCTTAAGAACGTGTCATGGGTCGGACGGCCCAAATCAGAACCCAAACCCAATAACATCCTGATACAAAGAAATTTTATTAGACTCATGATATATACATCTTTTTTTTTTTTTTTTTTTATAAGTACACCTTTTTTAAAAATAAAAAAATTATAAAATATTGTACTTTTTTTTTAATTTTTTAATTTTACACCTCTAATTTTTAATTTGCTACTTTCTTCTTTTTTTCATACACTTTTTTTTTTCTTTTTTAATTTTTACATGCTACTAAAATAGGTGTGGTGAAGGAAAGGTAAGGGGGTGCATGTAAAAATTAAAAAAAAGAGGGAAGATGTGTGAAAAAAACTACTAAATTAAATATTGTATATATAAAATTAAAAATTAAAAACAAAAAAAATTAAAAATATTTTAAAATTTTAATTATTTTTTTAAAAAAAGAGGTGTATATATCATGAACCAATTTATTAACTGCCTGACTGCAATAGAGCCCACTAGTTGTTGAGCCCAATCCAGAAATCTTCTTAAAAACAAATAGATAAATCACAATATGGGGGGAATTTTGAAATCTTAGTATTGATCTACTATAAACAATACTAGAATGATTTCTTGTCAACTAATGATACAAAAAAGTTAACATTTTACTGTTTCTTAATTCTTTACAATGCCTTTAGACTCGCAAAAGTAATGATCTATCTTATAAAAGTCTCAACATTTAAATTGCTCTTACATTAATTAATTAGGAGGGTCCTTGTTTTTACTTAATCAAATATATGTCCGTGTTTTTTTTAACTGATGACTCAATGTATTTGTTGAAGAAGAAATATGAACTCAATTTGGTATTTAAACGATTCTAATATATTTTACTAACTTATGTACTATAAGATTCAAGTGGTAGTATTATACTATAACTTATTTCTTAAAAGAAAGACCGAAGTCAATAATGTCTAAGGTAGACAAATTTTGACACAACTACCAATAAAGAATACACCACTAAATCTCCATGCTATCACACAACTACCTTATCCAAAAGTTACACTTGATTAAAAAAAACATACTTTGTAGTTAAAACCTTAACAAATGATATATGTTAGAGATTATATATTAATTAGTGATTTGGCTAATAAAATATGTATAAGACAAATATTTGTCACTTTAGTTTTATAATAATGAGTTATATTCATAATTCACTTGTGAGGTTTTTTTTTTTTTTTTTTTATAAAACCATAATAAAAATTCAAAAATAACCGATGAAGACCAATGTTTATGAAGTTAAGGATTAAAAAAGTAACTTTACAATCTTAGTGATTATAATGAAATCCAATAAAATCATAAAACAATTAAGGTAGTAGAGCTGGTATGTGTGTGCAAATTAATTTTCATAAACTTTAAGTCACTCGTTTATAAAGTAAGTAGTGACCTAATTTTCTACTAGTAATGCATGAAGAACTCAATCTTAATTTATAATGAAGATGAAGTGACAGCAACTGGAACATGCGTTGTGATTTATTATGACAGTGAAAGGCTATTCTGTAAATTTTGGCAGTGCATTATCAGAAAATAGATGTAACTAGTAACTGTATTATGTATTGTATTATTCGTATATTTATGTGTATAAATAATAATATAATTCAATTTTAAATATACTTTTAATATTTATAAAATAAGTGAATTTTAATTTTAATTTTTGAATATTTTTTAATTTGTAAATATTATTTTTCATTTTTTGTAATATAATTAATTTTTAAATATATTTTTAGTCTTTATAAAATAAGTGAAATTTAATTTTGGTTCCTAATTTTTTTCTAAAATTTGTAAACATTTTTTTAGTCTTGGTAATATATTTTTTCTTCTTGTAAAATGTGTAAAATTTGATTTTTGGTCTTATAAGATATTTTTCTTTTAATTTTTATCTCTCCAAAATATAAAACTACTATTATTGATGTTTAACGAAGATTTTAAAAAAATTAAAAATAATAATTTTTAATGATTCAATTATATGACTTAATAATTATCATCCAAATTTAACATATATAATTAGTTGCAATTAAATATAAACATATGTGTAAATATTAGTCTGAAACAAAAAAAAATTAAGATAATTTTTGTAATTTTTTATAATTTTAATTTATTTAAAAAATATTTTATAATTATTAATTATATAATTAATATTTTATTATGTTTCATTTATTTATCTATCCATTTATTTATTTATCTTTATATATATATATATAAAAAGATACAATACATTTTTACAATTTTATTAGTAAAAATGTTCATATTCCTTTATATACGTAATTTTTTTAAAAGATGTAATTGATAATTAATATGATTAAAAATGTGTATATTTTATTATATCTTTATAATTTTTAATATTGATATTAAATGAAAAATTATTTAATTTAAAAGTATTCATAATTATTTATATTAATTTAAAATCACACAATTAATAATTATTATAACTAATTATTTATTATCTCATGTCATTATAGTTTTTTATATTAATAATTTTTGATTCCTTATGTGAATTTTTAATTTTAATTTATTTCAAAATCGTCAATAATTAATAAATTAATGTAATTAATATTTTATCATACAGTTAGAGTTGGTTATATTAATACTAAAATATTATATATATATATATATATATATTACTTTACTTTAAAACTACAATAATTTGAA